CCCTTCCCACCCAAACCCTTCTGTGATTGCATGGGCTCCAGAAGCTGGGGTGGTAAGACATACTCTCAGGTCCCTCCCTGCAGTCTGAAACTGAACCCTGCACAAGTCCTGACAGAACTCAGACCTTTGTTTTAAGATATTGCGCTGGACTATCAGCCTGACTGTTACTCAAAATGCTAAAATGGCAGAAGCAATGGTGGGCACCGTACCTGCAGAGCTCAGTGCAAACTGACTGGGGGAAAGGGGTGCAAGCTGGGGAGAGGTTTTCAGAGACGGCTGTTCTGGGTTAGGGCTGTGCTGTTCCTCTTTTCTGGAAGCCGCCTGTTTCCCAAAGGTAAATCAGTAGTGGGAGGTGCCTGGATATGGAATAAGATTGATAACAGGGGAAGGAAAGATGCCATTTATGCCAAGTTAGTGCGGGCTCAGCAACAGGGGCAGGAACAGAGCCAGAGACGGCCAAGAAACAGCAGCTCCAGAATACACAGAGGAGGCCATAGGCATACTGCTGTGTTTGGAGGTATCTCGCTGGGCCTTCCCTTCAGCCACCTAGGAAAGGAAAAGGAGGAATGAATCCCAGTTAGACACAGCTATGCTCAAACACCTGGCTGCAGAGCCTCCAGTTCTGAGCACTGACGCGAGACCACGGGGAACTCCTGGGGCCAGCAGCAGGGCCTCCTCTTTCTGCATGTCTGGGGAAGAAACAGCTTGAGGTTCTGCATGCCCGTGGCACCCCTTCCTTTCATGTCCAAAATCACACATTTCCAGATCCAGGGTTTTTCAACTACTGTTTCTAGGCCCCTTGGCTCGCTGCTTTGTGAAGGCAACAAAGCAGTGCATACCTGGGACATTTCTGACGCAATAGATGCGCTGGCACTGTCTCCTTGGAAGCTTAGGGAGGATGAATAAAACAAGTCTTCCTGTCTTTCTGGAGCTGTCTGCTTCAGGTGCATTTGAGACCAAATGGTATTTTCTGCAAACAGAAGGAAAGCAAAAGTCTTACTGTGCTTTTCTTGTGCACCCCTTGGAGTCTAGAGAACAGAAGTCTAGGGAAGCTATTTTAGGAAATGCACTCAGAGGCTGTATGGCTTTGACTTAGAAAATAGATATTAACTCTCCAGTGAACGGCCTGCTGTTTTGTGGGTTTACTTGTGAGGTTGAGCAGACTGCAAAGCCAATTTGCACTGTACTTGAGGACCTTTGGGTCCCAGCTGCCTATGTTGCAAGGGCAGGTATGTAGTATCTCAGATGGGGTGTTTAGGTTGTAGGTGTATCTACTAGTGCTGGGTGTAAGGCTTTTTTATACAGAAGGAGGTAGGTTTAAATATTAATAATTTATTTAATGATAAATGCTAGTTTCTTTGATATCCTTGGAAGCTTTTACAAACATAAAATATTTAAATCTTACTAAGGTCTGTTGCTAAAATGCTAGTGAGATAAAAGAAATACAAGTTAGGATTACATAGTTGCATGTAACAGGATTTTTGTAACTGCTGTGCTTCTGAATCTAGTAACAGGCTGCATCAGGAGCTCCTTATCTAGATCCAAGTAAGTAAGGGCCAAAGGTGAGCACAGGAAATCAGGGGAGGAGGGGAGCCCACACCCTGTAATCCTGGTGCACTGATGTGGTTATTCAGCAACCTATGGATACAGCATATCTGACCGCCCCTTGTGATTTTTTTGCAACTCCTTCATTTGAATGCGGCTTGGAAATAGCTTCATGGTGATTAAGATGAACAGAAGTGTTGCTAAAAGATACAGAAACACTTCTGAGAGCAGATCCAGGCTGGTCCCATAGGTTGGAGAGATCATGGAGACACCGCAGAAGGACAGAACTATCTGCAAGAGCAATGCAACGTAGGACCTTGACATCAACAGGATTTTAATTTCTCTGTGCTGAACTGTTTCTCTGATTCTGTGGTATGATTGATTCTTACCAAGGCATTTGTTGCTCTCAAACATGCCAAGTATCTGGTCACACTTCTCCTTCTGGTTGCCGCTGCTCTCACACGTGCACCACAGGGAGACCTCCACGCTGGAGTTGCTGATGTAGTTGGGTGTCATGGGCGTGCCTGTCCCAAACCCCCAGAGACTGGAATCAGGATTGACTTCACCAAATCAAAGAAGCATCACGAGCCCTGTTATACGGAAGGGAATGCTGCCCTGGAGGCAGACGCCTTCCTTCGCACCATGGCACCCCCCGGGAGAGGCTGGGAGCCCCTGCAGGGGACCCAGCCCTGGTGAATCCATGGGAATTCTGCTGGGCAGTGAGAAAGCGGGGGATGGCTACCCCGGACTCAGGCACTCTGACGGCAAGGGGTAGTGATAACCGAAGCAGGTGCAAGCACTAGACTGAAGGATGTGAAGCATCTGCCAGGACTCGACTGCGGTACTGGCACACGGCAGCAAAAGGTGCTCTGAGCTCTTGTGCAGCTGGCAGCGCCGCGTGGCCAAACGCCTCCTGCCAAGGGGACGCTGCACACCTGCAGTGTGCCCGTCACCCAGAGCTCATTTAGCACAAAACCAGCAGGGACATTGGAAAACCAGAAGGTGTAGTCTAGATTTACAGCTTCTGAGACATTGCTGCTCTTCACAGTGCCTCTTTTGAGCCCCTTTGAAGAAGCACTGGCAGGTTTTCAGTGAATGCTACAACCAGAGGTGACTTTCCTTCCAGCAGCTGGTCGTGCTGCGTTCTGTCGGGCGCTGAGAAGACCGTGTACACCACTTACAAACCATCAGGAGTCTGGAAGTCAGACAGTGAGGGAACGTCACGTTTAATCACTGCTGTGATCGGGATGCGACTCCTGGAGCAGGAATGGCTCTGTCCACACAGGCCCAGAGAGCCGCTCGTCAGGCATTTACAGCACTGTGCACCAGCTGATGATGCAAACACGTGTTTAGAAGCCTCAGGCCAGTGCTGCCAGTTTGGCAGCAGAGGATGGGACAAAGGAGAGCAGTAAATGCCACGGAAGAGTTCTCTCTGGGCTGCACTCACCTCAGAAGCAAGAGGGAGCATTAGCATCAAGTAGGCTAAGGCACATTCATCGGTATACTGAGCACTGTCTCCTGCAGGACAGCAGGATGGTTCTTCACAGCACCAGAGGATGCCTGCAAGCCTGTGGCCTGGAAGCATCTGCCCTGTCTGTTCCTGTGGATATCACTTACCAATCATCCCCATGTACGCCTGCAGGCATGCAGCGTGGTTGTGCTGAGAGCAACCATCTGGAGACGTGTCTGCAGGTTGACAGTTTTGCTGGAAGTCAGCCAGTCGGGATCTGTAGGAAGGAAAATGAGACCATCAGTGCCTACGCTGTTCTCTTCTCCTGGCTCATGTCCGCTGCGGCTGGACCTACTTGCAGATATGGTCATCTAAGCAGGAGTCCAGCAGCCAGAGGCAATTGGGTTTGGTGTTATACTGGAAGGAACAATTGGGAACAATAGTTTTCCGGCGTCGTTCTCCACAAAGTTCATCTTGACATGGACAGAATAGGATCCTTTTGGTGAAATCCTCAGGAACTTTCTCAAAGAAATTCCGTAGCCCTCTGTGGCACTTGCGACGGTCACACGCATCTTCACGTCCCGCTCCCTTGGTGCAGACAGAGGCATAGTCTGTGCGCAGACGAACACACTTCTTGCTCAGATTACAGACATGAGTTGCTTTCAGGCATGGATTTGTTGCATCTCCTGCTAACTGTGAGCCTGTAAAGGCAAAAGAAACCCAAAAGCAATGAAGCAAGTCTCCAGAAGAGACTCTGTGTGGCAGCAGGAGTAGCCTTTACTTGATGGTCAGACTGGGAATATCAAAAGGGACACAACAAATTAGTCCTGCTATGTGCCTGTCGTATGACATCGCAGTTATCCTAGTGACAAAGCCACGGTTTTTACTGGTTCACATTCGGGTGTTTGTTTCAGAGAACGCATCGCTGTGGGTTATTCCCTGTTTCACGGGCCTGGATCTGTGAGTATATTTACACTCGGCAGGAGGGACAAATTTAGGCAAGTATCCAGAGCAGGTGCTCCTCTCATTAAAGGGGCCATAATGTTAATAATGTTCAGCCCCTTAAAAGGTAAGAAGGGGCAGCATTATAGCCCGTAACCATTACACTCCTTACCTGATAGCAGAGCTGCCAGTTTACTGTAATCTGTCTTCCAGTGTTCTTCATTTGCTGGATTCTCATAGGGAGAGGTCTCCAAATGGAAATAACCTGGGAAAGATACAAGATATTTTATACAGTGGGAGAAATGCTTTGTGACCAGCTTTTATTATCATTATTATTATTATTATTACTAGACTTTCTTTTTATTTGTGCCTGGCTGATTCCTCAGGCTGGAGTTCAGAGGTGCTCTGTCTTGCTCAAAGCCAAATGCCAAGAATGGTTCAGCTGGAGATGCTGAAAACAGCATTACATTTTGCCATCAGATTTCCTTTGGCTGGAATTTGGTCTGTGTTGTGATTTGTTCTTTTTTCGCTCAGTACTAGTGAGGAGAAGTGTGCAGTGCAGGCAGTCTTTAGTGGGAGGCCAAGCAGAAGCATCCCACTAAAGCTGGAAAGCAGCCATGTGCTCAAGGATGCCGTTACAGCCTGTGTCATCATCATGTGTCCGCTTCAGTGATGGACAGGCGGGACCATTTTGAGGTGATTTTCACAGTAGTCTCCCCACACAGCACCCAATCCAACTGTCTTAGAGCAGCTATCTGTTTCTTAGGGTCCCTGGCATATTTGAAGGGCTGGTCCCAGACCAGACCAGTTTCCTCTGCTTATCAAACAGGGCAGTAACAACTCCTCTTCACTAGCAGACGTTCCAAAGTGAGCAAGCAGTTTTCTCTGCTTATCAAACCGGGCAGCAGTGACTCTCCCTCACTAGCAGATGTGGTTCCAAGACGATACCTGCAGTGCCGGGAAGTGGCCTTTTGCGGTTGTTTTCAGATGGGGGCAGGTGTGTGCCCTGCTCACCTATGAACCTCATAAATTCACATTATTTCATCTCACCATCTGTCATGCTGGAGTGAATGGTCCAGAAGATGCGTAAGCAGTGCTCCTGCCTCTTCATGCGCCGGTGACACCTGCAGTGCAGCAGAGAGCTGTTTCCGAGGTCCAGCTCTGCGTTCAGACACCGGACCTTGCTGTCGTGGTCCAGGGGAGGGAAGTGAGTCTTGGCCAGGGCACAGCTCTCCAGGACCCTGTAGGTGGCATTGCAGGCAGAGTCCGAGAGGCACTGCTGCTCCGCTGCGATGCAGTCGCTCCTGGGCAGAGCCAGGAGGGCTCCTGGTCAAGCAGGGAGAAGATTGTTGGGGTTACAATCGCAATGAACGCCACACAAGCACCTTGTCACTGTTCTGTGGGCATTCTGTGCTCAGTCAAGACTCCTCTCAAGCAGCAGAACTGGCTGGGGTCTTTCATATGGAGTAGTAAGAAACAAGAGCTGTCCCCACTTAGAAACAAAAGGATGAGCATTAATGTATGACAGAGGTAAAAAAAGGTTAAAGAAAAGTCTCAGAAATAATTTCATTTAATGAAACCTTTTTTTTTTTTTTTATAACCCTTAACTCTTTCAACTTGGCCAGGATCAGGGATGGCTCTTACTTTATGGAGTAGTAAATCCCTGTGGAAACCTTGGCGTTGCTGAGGCCTGCTTTGAAGGAGCTCTTCTTTCTGGGTAATGAAAACCGCAGTGCAGTAAGCACAGAGCAACACCGTACTGTGTGCTGTGAGCCAGTGCTGCTGCCTGGGCTAAAGGATATACTGGTCATTAAGAGATGTACTGAGAAAGCCATTTGTAGGGTGCAGAAACATCTGCTTCACTGAGCTCGGAAACTTAAGAATGTGATTTTTTTTGTATAATAGAAGAAATCCTTAATATAAGATGCAAGTAGTTTAACACAGAAGTGCTGATATCCAATCAGTTTAAGTATATAGAACCCAGCCCTTGAAATCCCTGCGAAAAATGCTGGGATGCAGGCTTGGCCTGACAGCTTTCATCTGTTGGTTGATGGTAAACTCTGACTATATCTCTGTGTGTGCATATTTGCGTAACACAGGCACTGATTTTATATATATATATATATACACACACACATATATATGTACCACCTTATATGCAAGTATTAGATAATCTCAATTTAACAATATAATCTTTAAAACTACACTTTTTTTTTTCAGCTTTTTAAGTTTTTTATATGGACTGTTGTCTCCTAAGGGTGACACTGGGGTGATACCTAGCATTATGTTGTCACAGATAGGTGAATTCAGTCCATAATCTTTCTTCATTTCTGGAGTACATGGATGTGTGTTTACAGTACAAGTACAGCGAAGACCTGTAACAAGACTGTTTGATAATAACATTTACATATAGGCTAGTATGTTCCTTCCCTTCAGGACAATACTGCTTGGCTGGTTTTAGGAAATGACTGTGCTGAGCCATACGTGTACCTTTCATGTTCTTTGGATACGTGATCTTACCAATCATTCTCTCGTTCATCAGTAGTTACTATTTCAGTCTGCCTTCGCTACAGATTAGAAAAAAAATCTTGGTACAGCTCATACTACCTGGTATACTGTGTTCAACACCTAATTTGTTCTCTCACTGCCTTCGCTTTTGCTGGCTTCATCAGTTTATTTTCTATAAGCAGATGGCTGCGTAATTCTATGTGAGTCTGTTTCTCAAACTTTCTACTTCTCCTGCAGCCCAGTAACACTACCTGGGTGTCTCTGTCTCACTTGTACAAATTTATTTGCTTTTCTAACCATTTATTGTACTTTGTTGTTCATCTGGCTGCTATGTGTGACTTTGTAAACTCCCTGAAAAACAACTTTCTCATAAGCAATGCTTTGTGCCCAGCACAGTGGGTTTTGGTTAGGCACTACATCTAGGCACAACCTTAATGAACATTCCGAGTGTGGTGCCATCCTGCAAGGCTGCAGTCAGTGCAAATTCCCACTAACAAATTGGTCCGTTCTCTCCAGTGGCTTTTAGAACCCTAAACTGAGTGAACTGATCTACCCCACCAGACCAAAGTACCATCTCCCCCAGTATCCCATCTCCAACCCTGGCTTGCAGCAGCTGTTGTAAGAAGTTCATAAAAGGTTACATTTTGAAAACTTTAAAGTGATATGGTAATTGCCAGGGTAGAGCAGAGCTGGGTGTAGGTGGGTATGGACTGTGTTTCTACCACAGGCCTGTACCAGATGCTTCAGGTGAAGCTGCTGTAAATCTCAAATTTAGAACAGTCCTCCTCTACAAACATCGTTTAATAGCTGTGCATTGTGTTAAGCCCTATGTGAGATGTTGTTTCAGTTTTTTAAAACCTTGTCTTAGAATTCCGGATAATAATGTGAAAGAATGAGAAAGCTAATTCTTTCCTACACCTCCGGTCTAGGTTGCAGAACACAACAGGCAGGTATCGAAACAGCTCTCCGCAAAGCCAGAGAGAGCTACAGCACGGACCGGCCAGCACGGGCCCG